AGAACAGGTAATACTGGATGGAGAGGGACCGAGTGCATGAACGTGCGTGCAGTGATGCCAGCTCCTAATCTGCCTCGGAGGAGAAGCAGAGGGGATGGGTGTCCACGTGTTGCTGTAAGCAATCAGCCCCAAGGAACGCAGGCACGGTTGTATCTCTGCCACTGAATCGCTGCCTGGCCTTGGGAAAGCCACATGTTACAAGCTACTGAGGTGCAAATGACTGGCCCCGAAGCAAAGTTTTTAAACGTGCGTGTCTGGGTGGCAGATCCAAAAGGGAAAAATATCCCAAGAACCTCTTTCTTCAGGAGACGAGAGATCACTGAAGATCAGTTGTACAAACAGAGGCACTGGGGCACAAGGATCAAGGGCACATTCAGCAGTAAAACAATAGCAAAGTTTGGGAAAATCTTTTAATTCAGATGAAGGCACCAACATGCCCTCTAATATATCCTTTATTCTCCCTGTCTGGTAAATCTATGTCTGTACAAGTGGTTGGATTCTTCTCTACTGCTGTTACTACAACGAAATCCATGGAAGCAGTGTAAATTTTTCATTTCTAAAAACTGAACCACTGCCCTCCTGAAGATGTCCTGGATACTTCAGAGCACCTCAAGTGGCATTATGCATCTAAACTGAGGCAACTGAATCCTGTCATTAGCTGACAGATCCTAGAGAGTCATTCAGCTCTCCCTGTAGCAGACACTTAAAGCTCATACACAGACACCTAAGACACCCCAGGGTCAGCAGGACATCGACGCAGAGAAGGGAGGTATGAGAAGGGATGTAGGGGAAACTCTCACCCTTCTAGGGCAGCATCTAGAAGCCAGGTGAACACCCCAGATCATCTCAAATGATACATTTATATGGGGGTATCTGAATCCTGCCAGAGATATCTATATGCTGAGCTTGGCTCTGAACTGGTTAATGTAAAATCTCTTTACAATCAACTAAAAGAAAGGGCACCACCAGGATATAATCTCATCTATATTTCATAACCACGTATCTCATAATGAAGAGGACTGCTGAGTCAGGTGGTTCCAGGTTCCTGCTAGGTCTTTGAGAGCTTTCTACAACTCTGCATTAAAGTCCAGTTAACGTGGTTGGACTGTGGCTGCACAGAGCTGGTGGGATATGAACCTGGGGCCTCTGCGCCATGCTCTCTCACATGTCCACTTCTGGGTTAGTGACAACCCACCTGCGCCTCACTCAATACATCCATGGCTCCTCACAAGGACTAAGGTTTAAATTACACTTGCAGTGCAGGCTTCCATGTGCATGTGTTAGATGAGCCAGGAAGGCTCAGATGGACACCACTTCTGTTGGGTACCGGGCATCCCTTGTAAACCATGCTGTGCAGCAATGGTATATTTAGGAGACACAGTAAGGCATAACTCCTCTCATGTAAGATGTAAGAAGAATCTTTTTTTTATTATTTTTTTTACTTCTGACTTGTCCAAAGAACAGATGCAATCAAACAAGTTTTTAAACAAATACTCTTCTGCATACCCCGTACTCCGGCAAAGAGCACCACAAAACCACAGAACTGGTTTTGTCATCTGCAGGATTCTACAAGCACAGACAGGGAAGACAGAAAATGACTGCAGTTATGCAGGAGGGAAAAAACAAACACACACAATTTCACAAGGGACATGTGTTGCTATGCTATGTGGTTCCTGGGTCTACCATTCATTCCAGGTTCGTACTAAAAGACATCCCCTTTCCTCCTTGCTAGCTTTGAAGACCTTGACTATGCCTAATCAGCTCACCTACTACTGGTTTTCTCTTCACCACCCTTTCTTAGCTGTTCCCAGTCACTCGAACTGTTTCCCTGTGACTTTACACCAAAGCCGAGCCAAATTATTTCAGTTAGTAGTAAATTTGTCCAACACCACAGTATAAGCATAGGAGAGGTTATTCATGATACCAGGCTGACTTTAGCAAATAGTTTTAATAAAAGAAATAAAACAGGAAGGGAGATTACAGAAATGTCCAAATATTTCCTTTTGCTATTTTTGAAACATTCTTTTAGCTTTAAATTTCAAAATGACATCTTTGTTTGAAAACTGGTGCGTATTTTAAAAATGAATGAATAAACAAAGTGAAAACTAAACAAAAGGTGTCATTTGTAGAAGTGAAATGTTTAGATGAATGAAAATGAGTTCAGGATTATTTTTTTTCTTGCTTAAAAGAAACACCAGGATCACAAAATCTATTTGGGGCTAACCCTAAATTCTTTTCCTTGACAATTTTTCAGTAAGGTCTCCAAATTGACAAATCTGCTGTTGCCAACTCTTAATTATCTGTGGATTGACTATCCAAGCTGTGGATTAACTTTGCTAGAAGCGTAGACAGAGAGAAGTTAGCTCTGCCCATATCCATCCTAGAGCTGAATCTCTGGAAGCACAGCCTGGGAATTTCAGAAGTAATGTCATATACCACCTCCTGCGTGTTGAGAAACCACTGACTAACCCAATACGTGCTCACTAGTGCTTTTCTTTTATTCATACATCATCCCTTCCTCCTACTCACCTATCCCTATAGATAGCTAAGAATTTGCTTCATTCATATCTCTTGAATTTGCATTTTATGAAAATAGCGTCATATTTCAAAGCTCAACTGAAAACTTCTCTGTCCCCTGTGAGGCAGATCCACTGTCTTTGCCCTGTTTTTTTTCCTTTGCCATGGTTTAGACAGGTCTGCAAAGTATTTCTGTGATGAGTTTTGACATTCATGCCCATGACTGCTATTTCAAGAAACCCAGTGTGAGTTTCACAGTTCACTTTAGTCCGTCACTGTTCATGCCTTGAAGCTTCTCTTTCTGACTGTGACATGGACGGGTTTGGGATCAACATAGAAACTCAGCTAAGGGGAGACAGAAGGGAACAGTCACCACAACACAGCTAGGTTTGGGCCAACATCACCACAGTCATAGCTACCTGGGAGAGCTCGCCCTATTTTGGAAGGAGACACATCAGAAAGGAACACGCCGTCCCCTGCAACATTGGGATCAAACACTCTTGGCCTCAGTGGAAAATGTGGCTTCTGAAATCCTTGGTAATTGGTTGGTCTTGGCTGGGTTTCATGCAGAAGCTTCTTGGGAACTGAAAGACAGGAGTAAGAGCAGAGTTATTAGAATGAGTTATTTCAGCTGGTCAGAACGAGAATTATCACATTATACTATGGGCTCAGCTGATACTTAATTATACCATGTGCAGACCGAACAGACACTCATTTACCACTATGATGAACGCTCTCCAAATGCCAGCACAGAGACATTCAAGAAAAGAATGCTGGAAACTATAAAGTGATTAAGATGTTGTTTATTTACAATTAAGCTTTGAGACTAGACTAAGGATCAGATTCAGACATCACATTTAGACACCCATCTTAGAAACTGAATTGCCTGGTAAGCCAGGCTGTGGCCTCAGCCCTAAACTTCAGAGTACTCCACCTAGACACCTCTGTTCCTACCATGACAGCAGGCTAGGCAGGGTGCCCCATAACAATGGGGACTATACAGTATGCCTGAATCTCTGCCTCTCTCCAGCCATCGAGTTTCTGGTTTAAGATAGCACATCAGAAGTTTCTGTCCACTCTGGATTCACAAAACCAGCCCCTGGAGGATGCTGGTCATGTGAAATCATAAAGTTTAAATCAACCACCACAGAAGTAAAAAACACTACCTGTAAGAAACCCTCCCCACCCAGTGAGATCTAAAATACACCATTCCCCATTGGGTTTTAGGCTTTAATTAAGCTGGGAATGGCCCATTGTCCATTCCCACTATCCTGAGAAGAATGGTGAAGACTCAGCCAATCCCTGCTGCCCTCTGGGTTTTGTCAGCCACAGCATCGGCAATATGCAGGTGAGGTAGACTAATGTGTGACAGTTGTGTCAGTACATTTATGATCTCTTTGGACCAAAGCATGCCTTAGTAAGAAGAGTATTTTCTCCTCCTTGATGTTGCAAGGCCAGCTCTTCAGCTGTACATCCAGGTAAAGAAATCAAAGTCGGTGTAGTTACCTCAGTGTACACCCACTGAAGGTGAATCCACATAGTAAATTCACTAATTTGCCCTGCAGGGGCAAAGCAGCATGTCATTTACAGAGCTGAACCAGTTCTTTGCTTCAGCCACAGCCAACACCTGAGGCTATTTCAGAGCAAAGTGCTTTTCCATTCAAAGAGAAGAAACACATGTACAGGCCATTCTGCTCAGAAATTCGAGGAACAGAGTGATGAAAGACAAAATAAAGAAATTAAAATTTCCAGAGGAGAAAGATACATTTTCCCCATCAGTGACTGTATACTAATATATACATAAAGGCATCATTTTGTCCCTGCAGACAACCAAGACTAGTGTGTTAAAAACACAGACTGCTGAGAACTAGGCACAAGTTCATTAGACCCACAGAAACTCCAAGAGAAGATTCCTGGGATGCTCAGCTCTCCTTTCTCCAAACCTAACAGTGACTACCTCTGCTCATTCCAAGCAGCCTGACACCTTCTAGTGCCTCAGTTTCCCCACTGCTCTGTTGCTGATTGCGTTATCTCTCATCTCCACTCTTCACAGGGGTGTGAAGAAGAGTAATTAAAAATGCAAAGCACTTTGAGATCCTTGGCACAAGCATGAAGGAGGACTTGGAAAGAGTGCAACCCTGGAACAGAAAGGAAATTCCTGCCTGCCCCCTGCAGCTAATCAGCTGCCAAGCTGGAGCACGAGATTTAATCACGCCCATTAAATTTGCCTGCACAGCTACAAATATTACTAGTGGGGGAAGTGATCCAACCACCTTGTTTACATTGTGTTCAACTTACTGTCTTTGCTGAGGCAAAGAAAATTGTAACTATATTTACTGACTGACCTCCTATATTAGGCTGCCAAGATATCAGCACTGAAGTTCTTGCATTATTAGTAGAGTCATGCTAGGTCAGGAAACAGACATAAAACCCCACAGCTTGTGAATATCAAAGAGCTGGCACAGCAGTTTCTACTGAAACCCGCATTGGCAACTGTCCTCTGATGGGAAGGCAGCAAAAGAAACACATCCCCTGTTAGGAACTAGACAGAAGCAGGGGAGATACCTGTGCCAGGGAAATACCAGAAAGTCTGGGGAGGAGGTGGGTAGAACAGATTATCCTGCAAACCACACAGTCAGGGAGAATTGCAATTCTGGGTGCTTAATTTGAGGCACCCAAAGGGACCTGATATTCAGAGGGCATAAGGCTCAGCACCTTCCAAAAATAAAGACGCTTTTTGCTATATCTTGGGCTGCGGACCTGAAAGGCATTTAGAAGACACAAGTCAGTTTTCTCTTACATGCTTTTCATCCAAACTGCATCCCAATAACCTGTTGATACACATCCAACGAAGAAAATGAAGCAAAAGGAACACAATCTTTTAGCAGATTTTGACTAGTCTTTCATGTTTCAGACTGACTCTTCTTCCTAGACGTCTCCTTTCACCTCCCAGTATTCATGGCTACCTCTGGGCCACAACACAGGCTGAGTGGACCTGCACCTTTCTTTGAAAAGGTGACACCACCAGACATTTAAACATTTGAGCCAAGTAGGGGAAAGAACCACCATCTTTTCCTAAGCACACCCAGGAATTCAGCTATGGCTTTTCCACCTTGGCATCTGTGCTACCACCGCTACAAATGCTACCTACAAGACCAGGAGAGGAGTCAGGGTAAAGCAAAACATTGCTAAATCAGTCAGCAACTGGTCAACAGCATCCCAAGGAAGAGTAGAGATGGAGAAGTACTCAGAGGGAAGCATTCATAGAGACTATTTATTGTCACAGCACCTTAATGGGGCAGGGTTGTTCAGTTATCCCTTTGGGACGGCTGAGAAAGTAAGATGACCATCAAGCAGGCATTTGGTGCCTAAAAATGCAGATGGCTGTGAAGAGAGATTCCCAAAAGCAAGAATGTGCTTAACCTCCATGATTAGCATGCACTTTGGTACTTTCAAAAATCCCAAGAGGTGCCTATCTTCACTTCAGCAACCAAACTCCTTTAAAACTCTGGAAGAAACTTAGTGCACACAGGATGTCTACAGCACATGAACCTAGGACTTTTCTGTTTCAAGGGACCATTTTTCTCTGTGGACTGCATAAAGATCTCGAGGAGACTTTGCCAGGAAAGGTCTATCATGGCAAAGAGTAAATAGAGTGACAGCACACAGCAAGTCTGTTCTTTTTCTAGTTTATAAGATGCTAAACCAATACACATCCTAGATAACTTGATTTAGAAAGACATTAAAATGGAAAGGCTTTCTCAAGTGCAAAACACTTCACAATTTCCAGTTAGCTTCTGTGTGGCAGCCAACTCCACAAGAAAGATTAAACATCTGGTTCCTTTGAAATACCCTCCTTAAATTCTCCAGAGAGGAGTGCATCTGACACAAAGCATGGCATGAACTAAAGCAAGGTGTCAATAAAAGTTATTCATGATTAAAACCACCAGAAAATAAAAGTACCTGGGATTTTAGCCTTATCTCAGCATGAAGCGCAGAAATCCTGGCAGGAAAGGGTTGGCACTTGGCCTGCTCCGTTCAGTCAAGCAGAGAAGTTAAAGCAACTCAGTCAGCAGAACAAGTGATATATGCAGACAAGAGGGGAAGAAACAAGGCCTTCAATCAAAGCATTAACACACCTGACAGTCAGGAGCCCTGCTCCTTAAAATGTACATGAGAAAGGAGCTGGGGTCACCTTAAAGAGAGGAGATGAGTTGTTCTGGGGACCTTCGGTCTCTCAGGGGGTAGCAATTAGCAACGAAATGTGGGTATTTATCCAAACGATAAAATTCTGCGTTAACTTGGGCTGGGCAGCTGGGCAGCACAGGCAGAGGCGTAACTTTCCAGATGGCAAGCCATGCTCTGTCACCCACACCGGGGTCCAACTCTGTGTGTGCTCCACATGAGCCAGGACTCAAGCGTCACCATTGCTGGGACACTCCATGAAGGCACCTGCAGAAGGCAGTTCCAGGTTATAAACCTGCAAGGGAGCTTTTGGATCAGCAGGTTCATTCCTCTGCCATTATAGGCTTTCAAGTCTTTATATAATCTCTCTGCATCTGTTTTAAAAGCAGTCCCAGCTACCAGCTCCCACCGCTCATCTGTCTGAATCAACATCATGCTAGTAATAATTTATGCCAATTCCCAACCCAAGACCTGCATTACCCATTTGCAATGAATTAATGGTATAAATCCCACAACAGAACATCACCACCACTGCCTGGCAGCTTCCCCCCCTGTAGGAACAGGGGCAAAGGAAAATTAAAGCTGGAGTGTGCTCTCACTGGCAGAGCAGAACCATCAGAGTCGGGTACAAGCAACCAACAGAACAGTGTGAAAAGGCACATGCTGGTGCTGCTGACAGTATCCTTATTTGTACTTGGTGGAGACTCCTCCTGCTGGGATTTTCACACAAGCACTCTCTTGTGTGGACAGAAAACTGAGGGCTGATGAAAAGAAAAAGTTACTGTGCCTACAAGCAGCAAAATTCTGAATTACAGTGCTAAGAGACGGAAAAAGGCCAGCCGATACCTCGCCTCTGTTCATCAAGATAATTTGCTGTGTTTTCTACTATTTTGATCTATTTAGTTTTAAACAGTCCAGTCATGGGGGTTTGGCTAATTTCCGTAAGAGATTATTTTGCAGAACATTGCTCTTTCTGAGGAATTCTTTTCCAATATGCTGTGAAGTCTTTCAATTTAAGCACATATATTATTCCCCTAATCAAAACATTTGACTGCTATAGCCCCCCAAATTTTACAGATGGGGAATTGGCTCAGTGACAGAGTTTTGAAAGTGTTTAAATATCAAAATTATTTGTCCAATCTCACAGAAGGAGTCTGGGCCAAAGGAAGGAAACAAACTAAGGCTCCCTATATTTCAGGCTTGCACTCAAACCATCCCGTCTCTTTGCTCATTCAATCATTTGGTGTTTCCTGGTGCTTGCTCAGTCCTAAACATGCTTAAAGACTTCCACTCCCAGCAAGCAATTATCCCCTGACCTCCATCTTCACTGCATATACAGATCAGTCAACTGGAGGGGAGATCAATGAAAGCCAAGTCTTAAAAACATACTAACAGGCGG